GTCGATGCCAGTGACGTCACACTGTGTGACCTCTCCTTGAATTCCCCGTATTGTTGCTCGGCCCAAGGAGGGGCCGACCGGAAGTTTTTTGTCCTCCCGCTAGGAGGAAATGACGGTGAGAAGGCGGGCTGATCCACGCCATCTTGATCCGCCATGTGGGGTTGAGTCCTGCAATATCTATTATCACTAGTAGATGGAGCCCTGAACTTAAAATTGCGCATGCGACACTCCCGCGCAAAATGATTACTTTTCCCGCAAATGTAACATTTCCCTCGGGGTTTTCATACTAATTCCTGTGGCCTCAAGGTTTCCTTTAGTGCCACAGCTAGGGCTACTGTCTGCAAATGGGTAGAGTCTATGTCAGAAAATAAGCGGATAAACTCAGAAACTGTCCCTTTTTTACGGTGCGGTCTAAGAATGTCTTGACAATACTTATTTGCGTTTTCAAATGCCAATCGTTTAACAATAAACTCACTTGCCCCCGGGTCCCCGATCGACCTGTTTGCAGCCTGGTACAATCGGGCTACGAAATCTGAGTACGGTTCACTGGCACCTTGCCTGATTTTGGTAAGAACTAAATTGGATTGGTCTTTAGAGACAATCTGCCTCCAGGCACGTTTCGCACAATCAGTTATTTGATTGTATACTACAAATTCATAATTTAACTGTCTTTCTAAATCAGCAAAATCACATGTTCCTAGAAACATTTCTACCGGCGATTCTAAATCCTGTCTTTTGTTCTTTTCTGCCTGTTCAGTACAAAAATCAGTCCAATAAGTTTGCCAGAGTAAGAAATCTCCCCCGCTCAGGCAAGATGTAGCTAAAGAAATCCAATCGCTAGGAGGAAGGGGCTGCGAGCAAATATTTTCTATCAGGCTCTGTACAAAAGGAGAATTCAGACCATACGTCTCACATGCACTTTTTAGTTCCTTAATGGTTTAAATGGGATTACAGCATGAACTCCAACTCTCCAATCTTGCTCATTAACTTGCTCAAAAACTGGAAAAAGTTGAAAACTGCTAGTATCCTCCCCCGATTCTTGAGCCTTCTTAATACCTCGCTGGACTGGGGTAAGAAAAGTCATTGTTAATCCAGTGTACCTGTTAAATTTTGTCCTTTTAGCAGGTACTGGCCTAATTCGAATAGCCTGGGCAGGCGGTGTTAAACACAGCCTGTTAAAATTTCTCTGTAAGTCCCGAATTTCAACGTCTGATTCTTCTCCCTCAGACTGCAAGTCATGGTCAGACTCTGCGCTGTCGCCATTTTGAAATTGGGCTTCTAAGCCACGTGGTGGAGAAGAACTCTGAGCCCCTCTAGGAATCTCTTCCGGATTTTCCTCTCCAGGAAGATCCTCTACCTCTTCCGGAGGACTTTCTAGGACCTCGGAGGTTTCTCCTCTATGATGTTTCTCTCTATGATCTCCCTGCGGGCTAGCCTGATCCTGCAAGTTGAAGTTCACATTTTTAACCCTTGGTTTGGCCCCTAGCGCCTTTGTTTTTAAATGGCTTAAGGGAAAGGGAATTAACTTAGCCTCAGGCAGATTTTCCATTTGAATAGACCTAACAGCTCTCTGAATGCCTTTTAACAGGTCTTCAGAGGGCCACGAACTTTGGCCCATATATTCAAAAAGACAAACTTCCAGAGCCATCCAAGTTTTCTGAATATTTTCTATGCCTCCAGGTARTTCATTAGAAAGACAAACTTCTTGTAACTTCCTTCCTAATTTCTCCCAAGTAAGTAAATTTGGAGACTCTTTTTCACAAAACCAAGGACAATATTCACCTACAATCTTTAAGAATTGTAATAACTGAGTTTTCTTTATCTGTTTTCCTTTCTGATTAATTATACTGTCTAAAATAGATACATTTCCTTATCCGTAGAAGTTGAATTTCCCATTTTAATTAATTTAACGTCTCTTTCCTTCAATATCTCCAGGTACTTTTGTGACCCAAATTGTCACCACTTCCTTTATCTTTATCTTTGTCTTTATCTTTATCTTTATAGCGCGCTCCCACTCAATCTAGCTAATCTAGAATTCCCCCCTCGTGGGCGCCAATTCCACCATTCCGCCAGCGCAATGGTTTCATTAATGAGGTTCTTGGCATAAAAGTTAGCTAGCGAGATCGAAATAAAACACACAGACTCAGTTACCTTTTTCTATGACCAGGTCCGAGACGGCTCCCCTCTCTGGCTYYCACCTCGAACCACCTATAGGGCAGCGAGGATTACTCAGGGCTAGCAGGAGAGAGAGAGAGCACACCAGGGAGTAGCCTTTTATTGGGGAACAAGAAATTCAGGGGAGAATTCCATCCAATGAAGGTTGGGGGGGCCGCACTCCAAGGTCAGGGTCAGTGATTGGGCCCCCGGGGTCAGTGGTCAGTCACACCCCCACACAGACGGGTTCTCTCATCAGGAGAGGGCCGGGAAAGCTCCGACACAGCCAGAACGCCTCAGACCCAAACCGGGAGTCGCCCAGTCACGTGTGAGAATGGCTTCCCACAAGGAAGGGTTCCCCTTGCCTATGGCCCTGCAGAGCAACCCATTTTGACTATCAGGAATCCTTCCTGAGTCCTCTTTCAACACGAGTCACCCCAAAGTAATACTCTCCAAGTCTGTGTGGCCTTGGGTGGCTCTAGGTAAACAGGTACCTCCTGGCTGGGTTCAGAGTCCCTGGGATCAAATTGTATCTTCCCCTGGAGCTCTATGGGGGCACTGGGGTCTTGAATTCACACGGAAGGCCATCCTTGTGCAACTTTTGAAATTGCAGGTCTATATTTTTGCCCCTTCCCAGAAAGCAAATCCTCTCCCTTTCCTAGGACCCAATCATGGCAATTGTCCATTCCTTCATGCAGCAATTGCATATGAAATGCATAGCCCTGCTTAGGCAGTGGAAATAGAGTAGTGAACAAAAACCCTGCCACCCCCCCCTTTCTTTCTTTCTTTCTTTCTTTCTTTCTTTTTTTTTTTTTTTTTTTTTTTTTTTTGTACTGGGCATCAGATTCCTGAGTCTTATGCGTGTTATGCAAGCACTCTGCCACTGAGCTACACCCCAGCCCAAGACCCTGCTCTCTTACACTTCCCTATGAAAGGAGGAAGGCATGATAAACAATAAACATAAGAATAAGCAAATTATATAAAAGGAGATAGGAAATATAAGAACTTAAAATATAGAGGAGGAAAGATTAGGAGTGAATGTGGCAGGGATACTAAGGGAGGATATTTCTCAGTAATTGGGCAGGAAATGGGCTGTATTTTGAACTCAAGTTGTAGTAGTTGGGGTGTTTAAAGTAGTTTATTTCTGGATCTATCCTGAAGGCAGAGACCACCTGATTTCCTGAGAAACAGAATGTGGAATGTACCATAAAAAGGAACTCACAAGAGGAGCACAGTGATACATACCTGTAATCCCAGCTACTCATGAAGCTGAGGCAGGAGAATTGCAAGTTTAAGCCCAGCCTGGGCAGCAACTTAGCAAGACCCTGTTATTTTTTTTTTCTTTTCATTTTTGATGGTACTAGGGATTGAACCTAGGGTTGTGCTACCATTAAGCTACCTCCTCATCCTTTTTATTTTTTATTTCGAGACAGGGTCTTGCTAAATTGCCCGAGCTGGATTCAAACTTGTGATCCTCCTATTTCAGCCTCCTGAGTCACTAGGATTACAGATGTGCATTACTGTACCTGGCTCAAAATAATAAATTTTAAGAGGGTTGGTGATATGGCTTAATGAGGTAGAAAGGTGGGAGAAGAATCCAACTGGAGTGGGCGAAGTGAGACCAAGAGGAGCATTATGTATTATGTATTATGTATTATGTCTTATACAAGGGTTCAAGTGCTGAATGTGGCAGCACCTGACTGTAATCTCAGTGACTTGGAAGGTTGAAGCAGGATGAGCTCAAATTCAAGGCCAGCCTGAGCAATTTAGCAAGATCCTATCTCAAAATTTAAAAAGATAAAATGAAGATTGTTGCAAATGTAATTCAGTGGTAAAAGCACCCCTACATTCAATACTCAGAGAAAGAAAGAAAAGAAAGGCTTCAAGCATCTTCTGGTATAAAATGTGTGTGTGTGTGTGTGTGTGTGTTTTTTTCCTGATGCTTTGATATTATGTGACCTTGCAGACCTGGGAGGGACTGCCTTTCCAAGGGTTAGCTAACTCCTAGAGATAGAAAATGACCTGCCTTTGAGCATTCCTTTGATAAGCAAACCAACAATCCTGAGTCCACCCCATGGTTTATCAGGCTCCGGCAGCCCTGGACACCATCTTCCTGCCTTCAATCGCCCCATGGCCAGGTATCTGACAAATAAAGACCACCTCTTATAGCCCAGAGTCCACTGAAATTATTCAAACTAGCCTATTTTAAATCCTCATCTTGTCTTGTCCATTCTTTCCAGAGAAGATTGCAGTAAAGGCTATTACCCATGTTTTTTCTATTCCTTTTGCCTCCTGACTGTCCTTGGCATTTTCCCTTGTGGCCCTGTGTGGCATGCCATGCTCCCTTCTCACTGGGAACTGTGAGTTACAAACTCTTTTCAATGGGAAATATATCCTGATCTGTTGGCTTTACCATACCTAGATGAAATCCAAATCCTGGGTACATTTTAAAACAATTCTATTTTCTGCACTGAAAAATCCCTCAGGCAGGGAAATTCGAAGAATCTGGGTCCTTGAACACTAGTTTCCAACTCCTCCCAAACACTCACTGTCTTCCAGGATTCTGGACATGGGAACAGGAGCCCTTAGAACTTCCTTCCCTTTGCAAACCCCTATTTTAGCTTAGCTAGGGATTCCTTCCTCTCACATGCTTCTATTAAGGGATTTTGTTTTCATAATTGGTTTCTCTTCAGGAATCTGACAGACAAGGTCCTCCCTCAGGGTACTGGTCCAGTCCATGTGGCCAGGAATACCAGCAGGAGTCTGGGTAAGTGGCTTTGGGGCTTGCAGATAGGACAGCTCTCATTCCATGCCTGTGGTGTTAGCTTCTTCTATACCCACTGATTGACTGTCCTAATTACAGTTCTGTCCCCTGCACTACCATGCTACCCTGGGATCTCTACTCCAAAGCCCTCTGGCTTCTACCACCAAGATGTGTGGCACTCCCTGGCCTGCTCCAACCGACCCTTCCCCACTGTCAGCAGCATCCTGGGCTGTCTGGCTGGCCACATCATCCACATGATGGGGGACTCCACGCTTCGGCAGTGGTGGGAATATCTGCGTGACACAGTGCCCTGTGAGTAGGGGAGTGGTGAGAGACACCTGAGAGAACAAGAGGTCCAGGGCTGCCAGAGGCAGACATCCATCATGTCAACAGGGCCCAAAGGCCTAGATTTCAGGAGAGTGATGTGAAAGAACAGGACAYGTGGGTTTAGGGCAGAGGAAGAGATGGAAAAGAGGGTGCTCAAATTATGTATAGTTTCAACCATGAAGTAGATGATTAGGGTGCTCATAATTAAGATGTATAGATGACCATGGCTAGAACTAAGGATCTGCTGGGGGATACTGGAGGGATAGAGTTGGAATTTAAAGGGGGAAAAATACCTGGAGACATCAATATTGGAGGTTTAATTGAGAGGAGTTTGGGAGATATCAGATGTTTTTAAGAGGAGTTTTCAGTTTGTTGGACAGAAAGGGTTGGGCAAAGAAAAGAAAGCCTAGTTTATAAGACAATAGTAGAGGGCTTGCCTAGCATGCCTGAGGCACTGGGTTTGATCCCTAGCACCACATTAAAAAAAAAAAAAAAAAAAAAAAGAACAACACTAAACAAATAGACAATAGCAGAGGCAACAAAGGTGAGGAGAGATTAAATTGTTAAAGAAATAGAATGTCAGCAGTAAGGAAGAATGCAGAAGAAACTGGCCATGCCTGTTGACTGAGGGGTTCTAGAATGAACACATGACTGATGACTCTGGATAAGTACTGGATGGATTCAGAACAGAATCACTGGGGTGCCTGGATGGGGAGCAAGGGCATAGGAGTGGCACAAGGTGGTGTACCTATCTCATGCCCCTTCATATGGGTACGAGAGGTAGGAACATGTGGATAAGGTGTTTGAAGATGTCGGATTGGAATTGAAATGAGATTTTATACCTGTAGATAGAGTTTTGATATTTATTCCTTTGGGAATAAAAGCTAAAAGAGGGGGAATGTACAGGAAGATGAGTCCCATCTGAGTTTCTTTCCTTTAAACACCAGAATTTAGAGCAAATTCCACAATATAATGAGTTAAGGACTAGGCCTTATTAGTAAGAGGGGTAACATGAGAGTAAAGATGAGCAAGAAAAAAAAGAACACAGGGCTGGGTGTGGTGGTGCTCACCTGTAATCCCAGTGGCTAGGGAGGCTAAGGCAGGAGGATCATGAGTTCAAAACCAGTCTCACCTACTTAACAAGGTCCTGATCAAATTAGTGAGGCCCTGAGCAACTTGGTGAAACCCTGTCTCAAAAACAGAACATAAAAAGACCTAGAGAGGGGCTGGGATTGTGGCTCAGTGGTAGAGCGCTTGCCTAGCACATGTGAGGCATTGGGTTCAATCCTCAGCACCACATAAAAAATAAATAAATAAAAATAAAGTTATTTTTTAAAAAAAGAAAACTTAAAAGTGGAGGGGTTCTAGGGATGTGGCTCAGTGGTTAAGCACCCCTGGGTTCAATTCCTGGTACAAAAAAAAAAAGAACACAGGCACCCAACCCTCTCCCCACCTGTCCTCCCATCATCACACAAAGACAGATTCATGGATTTTCATGGAGGGAAAACATTCTTCCTCTACCCCCATCATTCCCCCATTTTACCCTCAAGTGTGAATGAAGACATTCTTTTTTTTTTTTTTTTTGTACTGGGGATTGAACCCAGGGACGCTTAACCACTGAGTCAATCCCCAGCCCTTTCTTAATATTTTATTTAAAGACAGGGTCTTGCGAAGTTCCCTAGGGCCTCATTAAGTTGCTGAGGCYGGCTTTGAACTCACAATCCTCCTATCTCAGCCTGCTGAGCTGTTGGGATTACAAGTGTACTCTGCTGTGACACAGCTTTATGGGGGGCTTTCTATATAAAAGAGTCTAGAGGTGAGTTTCTGCCTGTTTACAGGAGTGGTCTAAAAATACCAGCTACCTCATCTAGAAACCTTGAGGCCTGTGGGATGTTGTCTGCTTCCTTCTCAAGAGACTGAAGCCTCTAGTCTCCCAGGAGGGTTATCCTGGATGTAGCTTCTTCCTCTGGGAGGAAGGGGATCCCTAGTCCCAGCTAATTAAAAATTGGGTCAATGTCAGATGACCTTGTAGGGTCACTGTGGGACAATTTACTCTTGGCAGAGTAGATATAATTAGTTCCCCAAGAGAAAAAAATTTATGAAAATGAGTGGAAGCTCAGGAGAGAGGTTGGCAAAACCAGAGCCTTGGCTGGCTGACATGGTGCCTTTCTGTGAGTCAGAAAAAAGCACCTCTTGGGACCTACACAGCCCTGTAGCACATGGCAGGACAAACATGCAGGGACTTTATGCAAGAAAGGGTCTCTTGGTGCAGTTGTCATATAGCATATGAGTAGACAGATAGGATCTCAGCCACTGGCCTCCTAGGCTTCCCACCATGGTTCAAGGACACACACTGGACAACCCGGAGTCTCTACCTTGAGCAAATCTTCATCCAGTGGTAAATGAAGGAACCCAAAGGGCAATTCCAAGTTGGAAAGCTCAGTCAGGAGACTGCAAAGTGTGACAAAATACCACTGAGAAAGGAGAGAGCTTCTGCAGGAAAATCAATGAAACAGGATGCTATAGGAAGTTGGAGAGGCTGAGGACTGAGAATAAGCTTTCAGATGTGGGAAACTGGCAATATCATAAACCACAGAAAACAAAACCAGCCAGTCCTAGAATACCTGGGTGCTAAGAGATGTTAGTTTTTTTTTGTTTTGTTTTGTTTTTTTTTTTTTTTTTTTGGTGCTGGGGATTGAACCCAGGGGCTTGTGCATGCAAGGCAAGCACTCTACCAATTGAACTAGATCCCCAGCACAAAATCCTTTGTATTTTTTTTTAAGTAAGGAAGTCCTATATTAACCTCTGATCTCTACTCTTTCATTCTCCCAACAGCCCTGAAACCAGTGGATCTACATTCCACATATCAGGTGGGGCCCCTAATGGCTGTGGAGACCACTCGGGGCATAGTGCTGCACTGGCGAGCCCACAGCTGGCCCCTGCGCTCCCAACGCACACCAGTGGCCTCCCTGCACTCCGTGGTCAGAGAGCTGGGGGGCCTGGCTGGGGGCCCCCACACCGTGGTGGTGCTGGGCCTGGGAGCCCACTTCACCACCTTCCCTCCATCCATCTTTGCCAGACGACTGGCAGGGATTCGGGCAGCTGTGATGGCCCTGCTGGAGCGGGAACCCAGAACCCTTGTGGTCATCAAACTGGCCAACACTGGCTATAAGTCTGTGTATGGCAGTGACTGGTTCACCCTGCACATGAACCGGCTCCTGCGATCTGCCTTTGCTGGTCTCCGTGTGGCCTTTGTGGACGCTTGGGAAATGACCTCCAGTCTGGCCCTGCCCGACAAGATCCACCCAGGGAAGCTCATTGTGAGCAATGAAGTGAACTTGCTCCTCTCCTTCATCTGTCCCACCTGAGAGCTTCTGAGGGTTGTTGGCCTAAGTTGACAAAGGGCCTGGGCCACAGTTATGAAGAAAAACACAGCCATAATAAAGCTTTTGGAATAAGGGCAGATGCCATCAACTTCTCTCATAGAAAAACGTGATAGCTTCCTAACTGATTCAGCAGATTCTATTCTTGCCCCACAACAACCTCTCCTCCACTCAGAATAAGAGTGATTTTTTATTAAATTCTTGTTTATTTGGTACCAGGAATTGAGCCCAGGGGCACCTTACCATTGCGCTACATACCTAGCCATTTTTGGTTATTTATTTTTCTTTTCTGGCAGGCTCTCACTAAGTAATTTAGGGTCTCATTAAGTTGCTGAGGCTGGCCTTGACCTTGCCATCCTCTAGCCTTGGCTTCCTGAGATGCTGGGATTACAAGTGTGTGCCACTGCACCTGGCAAGTATATATATATATATATATATATATATATATATATATATATATATATATATATAATTTTTTTTAATGAGACATTAAAACAATAGCCTGCTCAAAAGCCAAGGATCTCCATTTTACTTAGTATACTAAGCCTTTACAATGATCACCAAGGCCCTGCAAGATGGCTGTACCTAACTCTGCATTATCCAGCCCTGGCCCTTCACAGTCTGACCCCAGGGACTTAATGATGCTCAAGCAGGTTAAACTGTCCTGCCTCAGGGGCTTATACCTGCTGTTCCTGAGCTTGGAATCGCCTCCCCCCAGATCTTCATATGGGCAGCTTTTTTATCATTCAATTCTCTGATCAAAATCTCATAGAGGTTTTTTCCTGACCACCCAAACTTAAGTAGCACCCTCTCTTCTCTCTGCTATCCCTTCCTCATTTTTTCCATATCACTAACTACAACCTATAATTATTTGGTTGCTACTACTATTGTGGTTGTCTCCTCAAAAAAATGTGGTTTCCATGAAGGACAGAGGGTGTCTAGGTTGCTCACTGTTGTATCCTGTGATTTACAGCAGTCTTTAATGATGCAATGTTCAATAAACATCCCTTGAATGAATGAATCAGTTAATGAGTTAAAGTCAGGTGACTAAGGCGAGCTTCTCTATGTCCTGCACTTTTTCTCAGCAATCTGTACCCCAGGAGAAACAGGCAATTGGTCAAAGTGATCCCTTGTTGTGTGGTTATCATTATTAATGTTTCTTTTTACATTCAGGGAGCTTCTACTTTTATTTTGGAGGACCCTCACAAGAACATTCTTGCATTTTCCCGAGGCCTGCCGAGGATTCACACATGTAGTTTGGTTGCAGAGATAGGCAGAGAGTTATATCCACAGTGATATTCCAGTGTCCTGAATGGAAAATCTGTCTCCTGGAAGACTGGAAGTGACTGGCCTTGCCCGCTCCGATTCTGGCTGATCAGGTCTCTGGGTCTCATCCATGAAGTGTAGACTCGTCCTCTCCGCCCTCCGGTTCCTGGCTGCTGTTTCCACAACTCTTTCTTTCTGGTTGAGAGGCTTCCCTGACCACTCGAAAGGGGGCTCCGTGACCAGGCACCACCACGTCGGCGGTGCCCAGGACCCTCTTCCGACTCCGCTCCTGGGCCACTGGGTCTTCACTCAGCGCCTGCCACGAGTCCTCATCCCCGTCACGCTCAAACACATCTCCAGCCACCACAACGGTGCCCAGGGCCGTGCCCTTCACCACTACGCTCACGTCCCGCTGGCCCCCGTGGCCCGGCGTGGCCCACACCTCGAGCCCAGGTCCTAGGCGCAGGGGCCGCCCCTCAGTCAGTCCGTGGGGCAGGTAGCGGCCCCCTGGCAGGCAGAAGTCGTGCGAGACCAGCAGAGCAGCCCCCGGAAACAGCCCCAGATTTCCGATATGATCCGAGTGCCCGTGGGTCCCCACCACCAAAGTCACGTCTCCGGGGTCCACCCCCTGCCCCGCCAGGACGCCCAGCAGCGCCTCCCGAGCCCAGGGGCCCCCAGTATCCACGAGGATGGGGCCACGGGCCGCCTCCTCCAGGGCGGTCTCCGCGCTGCCGGCCGCGGGCGGGGACTCTTGGTGACTAGAGCCCCGGCCCCAGGCCTGAGGCAGCACGAGGGTCACGGAGCCGTCCGCGCGCACGGCATCGCCCACCTCCTCTGGCTCCGCGTAGCCTCGCAGCAGAACCACCACGGAGTAGAGGTCGCCAGGCACCAGCAGAGGAGGCGCCCCGCGCAGCGGCTCGGTCCGCACTAGGTTGCTCATGGCAGGGGAACCACGGGCTGGCGAGAAATGAAATGTGGCTGTGGGCGAACGCCTCCAGGTTCTCAGCTCTGCCACTAGCCAAGCGGCACCTTGGCTCTTTGACACCCCTCCCTCTTTTTTTTTTTTCTTATTATTCCCCCGTGAACAGATTGCAGAATCACGTTGATTATACAGCCACGTTTATACCTATTGCCAAACAAGTGTCTGTTGTATTCTGCTGCCTGCCCTTCCTATCCCCCCTCCCTTCCCCTCTCTCCCTCTTAAGGTGGCATCGCCCTCCACTCTCGGCCGACCGTGGTACTGCTCGGCTTTCTTTCTACGCGACTCCGCCCCAATAGTCTCCAGGTAAGTCCTCAACTGTCACCTTTCAGAGGACATCGTTTTATCCTTCCCTCTAACCCTACCCTTTCTCTACCTTGAACCTAATCGTAGCGCCTAGCACAGAACTTCCTAAACGAAGCACAGAATGTATTTTGTCCTCTGCGGGCGTCCGTAGCTCAACTACGGTGGCCGAACCGGCACCACACACATAACTTTTAGTTCCAGTGCTTCCCGCAACCTGCAGAGGCTGCTTGGATTTCAGCCTCCCTACAGTTCTGTATCTTGCGACCCCTGCCAGCTTCCTTGGGCTGCAGAATTACCAAGCGCCATTAGGTGCTAATGGCGGAGGCCAATGGCCCCATTGTCTGTACGCTGCCTCAATGACAAGCTACAATGTGTGCAGAGTCGTTTGAAACTGGGCCCAGACGATAGTAAAAAAAAAATAATAAAATAAGTAAATTTAATTGCGATATAGAAAATATGGCACCCGTGAAGTTACGGAATAGATCAAGTAATTACCCCCACCTAACTTATCATTGCCTCACCGCCACCTACTGTCATAGTCTAGTTCACTGCTTGCTAGTATGTAGCCTCCTGGGTGAGGTCATAGAGAATGTCTGTTCTGGCCTCTTTCTTATAAGGGTCCAAAAACAGATCTCTTGAGGGGCATAGTGACTTTCTCAAGGCCCGTAACTCCATGCCATCGCTGACTGTCTTTAAAGAGGAAAGCTCAATGCTGTCACCACACACACCTGCCATTTAAGTGGTTGGATGGCAGGCAGAAGGCTCATATGTGTTGGAAGGACTTCCTCCTGCTGCTCCCCCATTTTCCCCATGGTCATGTCATCCTGCATCCCCAAGATCCTCCCTGAGGTCATTTGGGAAAAAAGCAGTTAGAAGCCTTGGGGTGGGATCACTCACACACACACACACACACCCTTCAAGCTGTGGGGTAGGGAAAGCTGAGACTTAAGAGGGTTCTTCTCCATGACCCCTCCTGGGGGCTCAAAGGCAAGGGTCAGAGATCCTCTGGGTCATGCTTGGGGTGGCCTGAAGTCTTGATTCTCTCCTCCTCCTTCTCCCCCTCCTCCTCCTCTTCTTCTTCCTCCTCCTCCTTTTCTTCTGCATTCTCTTGTCCATCTGTGATCTTCTCCTTTCCAGTCCAAGTTTCCTGAAGACATGCTAGGTGGGGTTAAGAGAAAATAATTTAAATATTGGTTCTGGGAATAAGGAGGTTGTTGCCTGGCAGGAGAGGAGCCCAACCTGTTTACATTTACCTGTTTCAGCAGCTGGGAGCACATGACCTTCACAGAGAAACTGCTGTAGGGGCTGCTCCTGATGGTGGAAGTACCAGTCTCCTACAACATCTTCAAACTCTTCCAGCATCGTCTCACACTGGTCAAGTGGAATGGCGGAAAGAACATCTGCTCTGCTGGGCTTTGGACACTTTCCTCTCGGCTGTCCACTCCCTACTCCCTACTCCACGGATTAGCCTCTCCACTGAGAGACAGGTAGCCAGGAGGTTAAGCTTGGCTTACATCTATTTATGATCTATTTCATCCAACCAATATTTAACTAGCACCTATTCTGCTAAGTAGGTTGGTAAGCTGTGAGATGGGTAAGGTGATCATACCTACCACATCAGGTTGTGAGAGTAAATGAGGCAGCAGCTAGAAAGTATGTGGTCCAGAATCTGGAACATAGTAGGTGCTCAATAAGCAGTGGCGGATAGTAATAGTCTCCAATATTATTTGATATTCTATTGGACCCACTTTAATTGATGGCAAAGTCCTCATTCTGCCCCCTTCTTCCTGCTGAGAGCTGGACATCCCCTACAATCAAATCCTGGGACCAAGCTCTCCTCTCACCTCCCTGGACAGTGTGGTAATTTGTCTTACCTGCTTCTTTAGGAATGTAACCTCCACACTGGGCTCATCCCACAGTTCCAATGGGATCCCCAGATCCACCTTCACTCCCTTCTGCACTAGGCCTTTCAATGTTGCCATGGTCTGACTCTGACCCTGAAAGATGGAGATTTGGGATCAGAGCAACCATCCCACCTTTTCCTTCCCTTTTTCACCATAATAGCTTTGTCAACACAAGAGGCTCAGGGATGAGTTCCATGAGGAGGGTGAGAGAGCCTGAACAAGAGGGGACTCTAGAGGTGGAGGGAAACGGGCAGATAATTCTTGAGGATCTCAGGGGACACAGGTCTTTGTTTCTGAGAATTAGAGTCTTTCCCTAATTAAGAATCTCACCTTGGCATATCTCAGTGATCCCTTGCGCTCAGCATGAACACTGTAATCCAGGATCCGCTCACATAAATTCTCCAAGGCCTCTTCCAGCCTTGTCTCTCTGTGGGGAGAAGGGAAACAAAGACTCCCTGGATGCTGCAGGGGCTTCCAGAGCTCTTTGGTGGACTGGAAGGTGAAGGAGCACCAAGAAGAACTCACGAAATGCTGTAAGGCACATGTCTCCTCCTCTTGCCTGTGTCCAGGACCTGCCCCAGCTCCAGGACCTCTCGAGATCGGCCAGTGCGACTCAGTTCCTCCTGTAGCTCCATGCTTAGTAGCTTACACACTGGTAGTGAGGAGAGATGTCCAAGGGGATACAAAAGAAGAGTGAACATGCCAGCAGTTCATTCTGCAGATGACCAAAGGCAGCAGAGGACGAAGTGCAGACTCTGGAGCCAGACTGACTGGGTTGGAATTCTGACTCAGCTTCTCAATATCTGTGTGACAATCTTGCTGTGTCTCAGTTTCTTCACCTCTATAATGGGGATAATACTATGTCCATGACAGGAGTGTGGTGAGAACTAAATAAATAAACCTATGCAAAATCTCTGGAATAGCTCTGGCTCACAGTGTTTACTGGTACTCTGCAGTTATTTATTGTGCTCCTTCTGTATCCACGCTCATGACAGATCAATAAGATTCATGATCTTTGTCTCTGAGACACTGTCAATGTAGCTGGAGATGGATAAATGGATGATGACAATATGGCGCCATGAACCCTACGCCAGGGTTAAGACCAAGAGATTTAATCTCACTAGGAAATGCAAAATCCATTCAAAGGTTACTTAATGACTTCCTACAAATCTTTGATTCTCATAAGGGTGAGCAACATGTCTATTCCACTACTAGCATATACTTGGCTCATGATAGTTCCAAAGAAAAAAAGGGGGCCCAGCTGGGCATGGTTGTGCATGCCTGTGATCTTGATGTCTCAGGAGGCTAAGGCAGAAGGATCACAAGTGTGAGGCCAGCCTCAGCAACTTGGCAAGGCCCTACGCAACTTAGCAAGACACTTTATTGAAAAAAAAAAAGAGAGAGAGAGAGAGAGATGGGGGCATAGTTCAGTGGTAGAGGGCCCTAAGTTCAATACCCAGAACTAAAACAAAACAAAACACAAAAACCATACATAGATGACAAGTAACCTAAACAGGCAAAAATAACAACATTTCTTTAAATGTACCCAGCACTCTGCTAGAACCTGAGATATATAGGCACTCCCCCTTTCCTCCAAGGCTTTATGACTGCAGGAGGTGACAACTGAGGAAGAAGGCTTCCAAAGGAGGTGATATTTAAACTGAACCTTGAAGAATGAATAGGAACTTATCAAATACAGAAAGAGGGCCATTTTGGGCAATGAAAAACAGCAAAGTCCCAGAGGTGTTAGAGGATGTGCAATACTCTGATCATGAGAAGTTCAATGTTCGAAGTGGAAATACTAGCCAAATATATTGTTACATTGTGTGCATGTGTGACTATGTAACTACAAATCCCACCATGATGTATAATTATAATGCATCAATAAAAATGGGGGACTGGGGCGGGAGGAAATTCAGTGTCTGAAGCATGGGCACTTTAGGGATGAGGATGAGGTATAGGAACTATGAAAGTCACATCATACAACAATTACATGCTCTGCCAAAAAAATGCTGCCTGGATGCTGATCATAGTAGAAGGCCTGCAGGGTTGTTAAAGCAAAAACTTCCAAGATTAAGTCTGTGCTTAGAAAGACAGGTGGCAGGAGAAGAGTGGGGACATAAGTAAAAACAGGCAAAAGATTAGAACCAAGTCATGAGGGACACTGATGTGGAAATGCAGAGACTGTGTGTGTGAGGTGAAGAGAAAAAGAATGGGGGTGGGGTGGGGGACTAGCCAAAGAGGTAACAAACCAGGGAAGCAGGGCACTCAACGACAAGGCTCTGAAGTGTCTCTCTCATTAATGCAGCCAGGGAAGATGCTGCTTGCTGCAAAATCTATACAGTACACACTGGCTGTAAAGCTTCCCATTGACTGGGAACTTAGAGTTGTTTGGCCTCCTCATATTTTGTTATGAGCTTTAAAGGCTGAGTTACTCATCCTCAAACCTTCTGGGGGAGGATGGGACCTGTAATTTGGAAGCGTCTCTGCCGCAGGGACAGAGGAAGTTCACAAAGTATAAGAATCACACCCCGCCCCTGAAGGCTCTCCAGATTTAGGTCTGGTGGGTGACATGGGGGGAACACACGCACATTGACGATGATCGGTTGAGTGGGCGGTCCTAGGCAGACAATCCCTGAACTACAATTTCCACAACTCACTGCGGCCCACGCCTGCAAGAAAAAGTGGGTTCTCTCTGGGAGTTTAATGGAAAATGTAGTGCCACAATTTCCCTCCCTGGATCCTATTCCAACTCCGCCAAATTCCAACAGAACCTCACTCGGGGGTTCAAGGAGGTCGAGTGACCCATCCATCACGGTACGTGTGCCCCGGGCCTAAACGAAGGAGGAGGGACAGGGAGATGCTAATAGAGGCTACTCCCAAGATACCTTCGCATTTGCTGGGCAAGCGTTCTGTGTCATCGTCCTCTTCTTTCGGCGTCCCAGCCCAAGCACCAGTCACTGTCAAAAAGAAAAGCAATATTCCTAACCGCACAGGTCCCATGACAATGCGCGGTGCACAACCACCTTTTGCCTTCAAACCAACTTCGGGAAGGCGGCGGACCCTTTAAATTCAGAGGCGGTAAGCCGTAGCCTTAAACCCTGCCTCCCTGCCGGGCATCATCAGCGCATGCGTAGGTCCAACCCGTAAAGGGGTGGGGCCTCAGGGCGCTGGGTTTCCCCGCCTGTTTTGTGGCGCCTCCTGAAGGTCCTGGCTGCCGGGTAGTGAAAAAATAAATTCAAATAACAGACTAGGAGAGTGTGCTTCTCGCATATACACGTAGTAACAATTTTTAAATGTCATTTTAGTTGTGAGCTTGAATGGTTTGTTATGGCTTGGGGAAGTGATGGTGACTTTCGGTTTCTGCCAGGACCTAGTGCTGGGAGGGGGCGGGGCCAAGATGGCGCCGAGCGCCGGGTGAGCGGCGCTTTGGCAGCGGTGAGAGGCTTTTACTGCCCTCGGCATTTGGTTGGCGGGGGCGGGTCTGAGGGGTATCCGGGAGGAGACCCCATGAAAGGCCCGTGTGGGGACTAGGAAGAGGACGATTGGTGGTGTGTCGGTGCTCTCGTGGATACTCCGTGTGTGTATGCATTGGAGGAATGTTGGGGGAGATGGGTGGTTTCTCTGAGCCTCCTTTCGTGCTGCCTGGTTCTCTGCTGGGGAAAAGACTGCACAAATATAGCTCAAGTTAATCCTCCTCTGAGAAGCCCTCCTGCCGTCTCCCCTGATCTGAGACGCTCCCGAGATTACAGCGTGTTTTATGAGCCCCTACTGACAGTGGGTACCGCAGGGTTTTGAAGGATTAGTAGGAGTTCACTAGGGAATTGGGACACGACCGCTTCTTGTATACCCTGCATCAGGCATAATGTGTGGAATAATTTTGTTCCCTGTAGATAAGACTTGTAAAAGTCGGAGAGGAGACCTGGGATAATTAGAAAAAAACACATTCTCCCTCAGCCTTCATCCTCCTGTCCCCTCAGTTCTGAACACAGTTTGAAGTTACTCTTCCTAATGCCCAGATCCAATGGTGCCTTTTGACCACAGTGTAAACTCCAACCTTCAGCCTATGTCTTTTTATTGGTCTCAATAATTGTGATAGTATTTATTGAGCATCTGTATCTCTAAGGCCTTACAATTCATTCATTTATTCAAAAGGTATTTATTATTTACAGTGTCCCAGGCACCTGTCTGGGAACCAGGGATACACCAGTGAACATCACAAAGATTCCTGTCCACAAGGGGATGATGGGATGGAAACGATAAACATTGTATCCTCTAACGATACAATGTATTAGGGGTTGTTAAATCTTATAGAAAAGAAAATGTAAAGCAGAATGAAGGCAGAATGCCGAATTAAAATAGCAATGGTAAAGGCAGACAGGCAAACAGCATCTGAAAAGAACAGAAAAAGCTGAATGGCAAGGTCATGCTGATGTGACTGGATCAAAATAGAATAAGGAAGGAGAGGGGATCAGAGAGGTAATGGGAAGAAGACAAATCATGAGGGGACTTATAAGCCAATGTAAGAATGTTATGAGTAATGGGGAACCATTCCAGCAGAGAATTGACAACCTGATTTATATTTTAACAAAATCACTTTGACTCTTATAAGGAATAGATGTAGGGAAACTTAAGGTGGATGGCAGAAGACCTCATTCAGAGGATATTGGAGCTCTGCAGGAGATAGTCTTGAGCCACAGAGTGGGAGTTGAGAAATCAGATTGGATTATCCGGCAGATTTGATATGAGGGCATAGATAAAGAATGAGTTGCTGAATGGGTGGCAGATGGAGGATGAGGAATGCTAAGGCTTGATCAGGTGGCAAAGGAGATCAGGAATTCACTTTTAGCAAGGATTTTGAATCATATTTCTTTTGATCTCTTCTATCTGCCCCATTCCCCTGCCAGAGTATCCATCTCTCCACCCTGGGGCTATATCCTTCTGGTGAGGGAAGGAGGTGCTCCAGCATGGCTGAGGAGAAGAAGTTGAAGCTCAGTAATACCGTGCTGCCCTCAGAGTCAATGAAGGTTGTGGCTGAATCAATGGGCATTGCCCAGATTCAGGAGGAGACCTGCCAGCTACTAACGGATGAGGTCAGCTACCGTATCAAGGAGATTGCACAGGTAAGCTAGTCCATCTGCCCAGCTCTGCATTGTGTCAAGGTTGTTACCTTGACATGGCCTCCTTTTTCCTCAGGGTCTTGGATTGACATCTGTTTTTCTATCCCTCAGGATGCCTTGAAGTTCATGCACATGGGGAAGCGGCAGAAGCTCACCACCAGTGATATTGACTATGCGCTGAAGCTAAAGAACGTTGAGGTGCGTGTGAGAGACAGGAAGGGGGCTGAGGACTGGGATGGGTGGTGAGACACTATCTCCTTGGATGCTGCATTTGTCTTCAGCCTGGCCTCTCCTGGACTGTTCTTACACCAATGTCCCCCTCTCTCTCTCTCTCTCTCAAAACAGCCACTCTATGGTTTCCATGCTCAGGAATTCATTCCTTTCCGTTTTGCCTCTGGTGGGGGTCGGGAGCTTTACTTCTATGAGGAGAAAGAGGTTGATCTGAGTGACATCATCAATACCCCTCTGCCTCGAGTGCCCCTGGATGTCTGCCTGAAAGGTTGGGGAAAGGGAGAGCGGGGTGGCAGGGAGGAGGGAGAGAAGGAGAAGATGTATGGTGTGAGGAACCTCACAAGTGAAGAAACCCTCAGTGTGAGAGCCCTGCTGAATAGCAGGAAGGAAAACACACCTGCCATGGAGTGACTTCCCAGTTTCCATGTCCAGCAATTCAACTTGACACCTTCTTTCCTCGCAGCTCATTGGCTGAGCATTGAAGGCTGCCAGCCAGCTATACCAGAGAATCCACCCCCAGGTAACCTCCACACCCAGAGCCCACCCCTCTCTCTCTGCTGCCTCCTTTCAAACCACTCCACCATCATTCCTGCTGTGATTGCTTTCCCATCAGCTCCCAAAGAGCAACAAAAGGCTGAGGCCACAGAACCCCTGAAGTCAGCAAAGCCAGGCCAGGAGGAAGATGGACCCCTGAAGGGCAAAGGCCAAGGGGCTGCCCCAGCTGATGGCAAAGGTCAGTATTCTAGGTCAGGCCTCTCCTGGCTCTTATCCCAAAGCCACATGTGAAGTGGATGAAGTTAGGGCCAGAAAGTCCCAGGAAGGACCAAGAAGCCTAGAGGAAGCCAGGTATCCTGGGGTAGTATGTAGAGGGTACTGAGTCCTCTTTTTTCCCCAAACCTGTTTTCCCAATTCACACAGGGAAAGAGAAGAAGGCACCTCCCTTGCTAGAGGGGGCCCCTTTGCGCTTGAAGCCCCGCAGCATCCATGAGCTGTCTGTGGAGCAGCAGCTGTACTATAAGGAGATCACTGAAGCCTGCGTGGGGTCCTGTGAGGCTAAGAGAGCGGTGAGGGCCCCACCCACCTGCCCTCAACCTAAGACTCCTCTTGGAGCCCTTGCAGATTCCTCCCCAAGAGATCTGCCGCCACCCCATTTGCTTCCCTCCTCCCACAGGAAGCTCTGCAGAGCATTGCCACGGACCCAGGGCTCTATCAGATGCTGCCACGGTTCAGTACCTTCATCTCTGAGGGGGTGAGAGGACTGGGAAGGCCAGGCCAAGGATGAGGCTTGGGGGGCAGGGATAGCAGGGGAAGCTCACCTGAGGGGTCTCTCTGCCCCACATTCCTCTGTCTCATAGGTCCGTGTGAATGTGGTTCAGAATAACCTTGCCCTGCTCATCTACCTAATGCGCATGGTGAAGGCGCTGATGGACAACCCTACACTCTATCTAGAAAAATATGTGAGTTGTCCCCTTGCCCACCCTCCTCTTCCTGGGGTTAGGGGACTCTTGTTACCACCCATGGAAATCACTTGTCAGAACCAGCTGACCTGCCACTTCTTCCTTAGGTGCATGAGCTTATTCCAGCTGTGATGACCTGCATCGTGAGCAGACAGCTGTGCCTGCGACCTGATGTGGACAATCACTGGGCACTACGGGACTTTGCTGCCCGCCTGGTGGCCCAGATATGCAAGCATTTCAGCACAACTACTAACAACATTCAGTCCCGGATCACCAAGACCTTCACCAAGGTAAGCCTAAAGAACATGACAACTATTTCATATCACCCCAGGGTTGTCACCAGTACAATGAGAGCTTCAACTAAACCAATGTGGCAGTTTTGGCAGGGGGACAGGAACTCGTGGGGGTTTGGTCTGAGGAACTTGAACCTCCTGTGCAACATCTTAAATGATTTGTAAGGAAAGTGTTTATGGAAGACCTGAATCCTTAGCAGTCTTTTCATACTCCTTCATCTAGGTTTATTTTTCTTTTCTACAGAGCTGGGTGGATGAGAAGACTCCCTGGACAACTCGTTATGGCTCCATTGCAGGCCTGGCAGAGCTGGGACACGATGTTAGCCCCTCACCCCAGGGGAAGAACTAGGGGAAGGGAAGCAGTCTTGAGGTCTTAGAGGGCACCACCCCTCTATACCTGAGAGACTTCTGGTGACCCTGTGGCTCTGGCTTCTCCCTTTCCTTTTTGACAGGTGATTAAGACTCTGATTCTGCCACGGCTGCAGCAGGAAGGGGAGCGAATCCGCAGTGTCTTGGATGGCCCTGTGCTGAGCAACATTGACCGCATCGGAGCTGACCATGTGCAGAGCCTTCTCCTGGTGAACAGACTGCCCTCCCTGACTTCTTCCCACTAATCCCCCTTTCCCCACAGAGGTGGTGGCTTAGCAAGGAAGCATCCAGTACATTTGCTTAATCCCATCTTTGCCATTATATTTGTTAACAGAACACTCTTCAGACTCGAATGCTGTTTTGGAGACAGAAAGGTGCAGATAGGCTAAGTTAAGATTTAGGGGCTCTTAACATATCCTGTCGCTTTTCCAAGCTTCTTTCTATATCACTGTAGGGCCCATCTACAAGGCAAATGCACACCTATCGGTCAAATACCCCTTAGATGTCATATATACGAAGCAAACATAGCAAGTCCTTCATTCATACTAGTTGGTGCTGTTTCCTTATGAGGGAAAACCACAGTATTCCTTACAGATGGAATTCCTTAGTTTTGCCTCCAATAGGGGCACCCTGAAATGTATGGGTGATTCTTGCCCCTTCCCCCTTGCTCTTCTGAGATTACTAGCCTTCCCTCTTTTGCCTTCTCTTTGCAGAAACACTGTGCCCCTGTACTGGCTAAGCTGCACCCCCCACCTGACAATCAGGATGCCTATAGGGCAGAATTTGGGTCCCTTGGGCCCCTTCTCTGCTCCCATGTGGTCAAGGCCCGGGCTCAAGCTGCTCTGCAGGCACAGCAGGTCAACAGGACCACACTGACCATCACACAGGTCAGTTGCTAAGGAGAGGAGGGTGAGAGGAAACTAAGAAGGATCTGGGGATGGGATTCACAGACACATACACATGCAGGTCAAGTCAACAAAAGTCTTGGGGAGTCTGGGCCCCCTAGTGAAGGATGCCCCAACCCGTGAGAACTAGAGAAAGATCAGGAGCAACACAAGTCTCCCTTAGGCCATGCTTTTACTTGGGTGTTGACATTTTCTTCTTGCCTCTCCGTCATGCAGCCCCGGCCCACGCTGACCCTCTCACAGGCCCCTCAGCCTGGCCCTCGGACCCCAGGCTTACTGAAGGTCCCTGGCTCCATTGCACTGCCCGTCCAGACACTGGTGTCTGCTCGAGCTGCTGCCCCACCTCAGCCTTCTCCTCCTCCAACCAAGTTTATCGTAATGTCTTCTTCCTCCAGTGCCTCATCCACCCAGCAGGTATGTGGAGACTGGGACAGGGATATGTCCCTTCAGAGCCCCTTGGGGAGGTCCCAGAGTAGAGCTCAGTCCCTTCTGTGTCCATGGAAGGACTACTTGCCAGGGTCTTGAAGGCCTCAAGCTGGCAGTAGTCTAGAGTTTCTTGAGGATGGACACTGTTCACAGGGAAGCTCGTGCCCTATCCCCCTTAGGCCTTTGGGGAAGTGGGAAGGTGCAAGGTGATTGGCACTGCCTTCTTTTCTCCCCCAGGTCCTGTCCCTCAGCACCTCAGCCCCTGGCTCAGGCTCCACCACTACCTCTCCAGTCACCACCACAGTCCCCAGTGTGCAGCCCATTGTCAAGCTGGTCTCCACTGCCACCACTGCCCCACCCAGTACCACCCCCACTGGCCCTGGCAGTGTCCAGAAGTACATTGTCGTCTCGCTCCCCCCAGCAGGGGAGGGTAAGGGAGGCCCCCAATCCCATCCCTCTCCAGTTCCTCCCTCATCATCTTCCCCCTCACCACTTGGGGGCAGTGCCCTCTGTGGAGGGAAACAGGAGGCTGGGGACAGCCCACCTCCAGCTCCAGGGACTCCAAAGGCTAATGGCTCTCAACCCCCTGGATCAGGCTCCCCTCAGCCTGTTCCCTGACGATGTCATCCATCTGTTGGCTGCCTCCTCCACGGATTCCTACACATGCACACACGCACGCTGGCTGGGAGAAGTAGTAGGCTGCTTCTCCCACATGACTTTCTTTTTAGATACTGTACAGTCAGTTCCTCAGAATAAAAGTTTGATTTGTAAGTCCTGAGCCTTCTTCTGCCAGATACCATGGAAGGGTGAATCCATGGAGGCCTCCTGGCCTCAAGACTCTTCCTGCTCAAATTTAGGGCCATAGGCCAAGATGCCAAGAAAGAAAATATCGTCCTCTTCTTGACCACTTGTTGCCTTTGCCGCCTGTGTCTGTACTTGGGGAGCCTCAGATCCGAATGACATAGGCATCACTGTGGCTTAGGTGGCGTACCCACTTGTGGGGGTTGGCATTGCTGCAGGGCCTGAAGGACAGCCTGAGGAAGCGAACCTGGAGGCCAGAGCACGTATGCCGGGGGAGTTCAAAGGAGAGGCTTGCGGGGCCCAGCCCCAGCGGAGGAGCTGAGGTGGAGGGCCCGTGGCTGGGAGGCCCTGGCAGGCCTGGAACGTCCATCTGTGAGGGAAAAGGGCAGGGAAGCCATGAGACCAGGCAGCTGCCTGTGCTGGTGGAAAAAGAGTGCAAGAGGGTCAACAGCAGATACCTGGAAAAGGCCTGAGAGTTGAGAGCCTCCCTGTACCCGGGGCAGGTCCCAGCGAAGGGCTCCTTCCCCCAGCTCTGCCTTCTGCTCTGGACTGCTCAGCTCCTGAGACAGGCTGCAGTATGGAGGTAGAAGGTGATGGGTTCAGCCATGCCCTCCTTAGCACAGTGCCACTCTCCACCCCAGGAAAGTTCCCTAGGGAGCAGACACTAACCTGACCACCCCTCGTGGCAGAGGAAGGTGCAGTCGGACATTAAGAGCTTGGCTGCAAAGAAGAAAAATGTTGGATCAGCCCCAGGAAGGCAGAGTGCCTTGTCCCTGTTCTTTGAATGTCACAATGGGAGTTCATCCCTATCCTGGCCGCTTCCCATATACTATAGCCTCTACACTGGATTCTTAGCCCGATGGATACACCTGAAGGAAGCAGCAGACTCTTGGCCTTATCTCATGTCGAGAGAGCTGAACCAACCCTAATCGGCCCTACTCTTACCTCTTTGGGGGCAGATCACACCGTAACTTCAGGTAAACCTGGAGCCTGGATGAAAGAGGGAAATACTATCACATACCCCATATCCTATTGGCACATCACTATTGCTTATGCAGGGCTTCATGTAAGGTTGTACCCCAAGAAGGAGAACCAAGATCCAGCCCAGTATCACTAGTCAAGCCTTTTTCCAATTTGTGTGCTGTCATCTCTGCCACCACCCATCCACAGTAAGTTTTGAAAACATATATGTCTTGGCTTGGCTTCCAGAGTAGTTGTAGAACACAGGAAATGGTCTCACCGGCCTGAGCCTCGGTCCCACTGCACAGAGGGAAAGAGCCGAAAGGGAAGCGGGGAGGGGAGGTCATCGGAGAGTTGGTACCTCATCACAGTCAGCTGAGACCAGAGAGGAATGAGATCAGCATGGTCTTAGGCTGGCACTCCTTCCCTCCCCTTTGTTCGAGGAGCACAATAGGTCACCATGATCCTCACCTCACCCTGGGGTGGCTGCAAGCGAAGGATCCGATGAGACTCAAACTCATCCAGGTTTACTGAGCTGTGAAATGAAACCTCATCAACCCGAATTCCTGGCCCGTACCCTGGAAAAAGAAAAAAACCCTTCTTCTGACCTATGCTTAGAGAGAGAAGAGGAGGTAGGAGAGAAGGAGCTCCTTCTCAAACTTACCTCCATGAAATCTTTGGCAGTGACCTACCTCCTCTAGAAAAAACACCCCTATTCTCCTCACCTCTGAGTTCTGACTTCCCCACACAAAATTCTTCTGTCAAGCCAATGCGCATCTCTGTTGAAGGAAAGAACATCAGGAAAGATCAAACACTGCCAAACATGCCATCAAGAAGCCCATGTGAAACCCAACCCTGGGCCCTCACCAGAGCCGCTGGGAAGGAAGCTCTTCAACCGGATCTCTCCCTGCACATCCACCTTCAACAGTGAGCCCTGAGAGTGGCGGGGAGGTTAACAACCAGAGTCCTGACCTCCCAAACCTGTTTCCCAAGTACCATTTGTTCTCCACTCCAGGATTGGGAGCCCAAACTTACATTAGATGCTATCAGTACAGACAATCTCTCGACCACATCTAAAAAAACTTCATTCTTCTGGCTCTGAGGAAGAAAGGGGTTTAGATGGTACAGGCTAAAGGCCTGTTTCCAAAATAATAGATAGATAGAAAAGGTAGGCCCTGGGGTAGGACCTGTAGGTGAAGAAATAATATCCATGTCTAGGGAAATGGAAAAATATAGCAGGATCTTGGGATTCTGGTGCCACAGGGGAGGAAAAATAAAGTATGACCGTATCCATCTGTCTTTACCTTACCTGATCAGAGCGACTGGACAAGACAGGGCGACTGGCTGCACTGCTAGGGGCCACTTTGCTCTGTTGTGTCTCAGCCCCAAACTGTAAAACACCCAAAGCAACTAATCTTCAGCTTTGGTGTTCCCAGCCAATCCCCCTCCTTCCTGATCCTCCTCTTTCCCAGCTACTGACCAAGCCAACACTGCTGAGGTCAAACAGACTGAAGGGCTTGCTGACGACAGCTTCTGTCTGGATGAAGTTCCTCAGCATCTCTGTGGACGTTGTCTGAACATAACCATAGTCCTAGTGGTGAAAGAGGACAGACAGGAGATTTTGGGCTAGTCAGTAGAGGGAGGGAGTGAAAAAAAAAAAAAGAGAGTGAGTTTAGCTTCCTAACCACAGGATCCCACAGTAAAAAAGAGAAACACCTTCAGGGAAATGGGGGATAAAAGGAAAGTCCTTGGGCCTTACCAGCACTTCATCCAGGAGTTCATAGACAAGAGCCACATTGCGAGAGATGGTCCCCTCGCTGAGGGAGCCACAGTAGTCCCCCAAGAGAGTGGCTAACCTGAGGAATCAGGGCAGACTGTTCATAAATAAATCTTCCTCCTGCAGGCCCCCACCCCCAGGTGCCTGGCCTAGCCCTTCTCACCGGGACAGCAGCTCTAGGAGGCTGAAGGGAGAAATGTTTTCGGAAGTGGTGGCCACCAAATAGAGGCTGCTGTGTCTGATGTGAATGAAATGTCGGTCATCGTGGTGCTGAAGCAGAGGCGGGAGGGGAAAAAAGAGGGTTGTAGTGAAGGAGGACCCACGAGATCGGAGCTCGAACCCGGATGTAGCTTCCAGTCACAGTAACAGTGTGCCTTCAGGGGGTCCCTGAACCCTCCCTAAGGCCTGCTTCCTAATAGATACGGGGTTAATGACAGGTGCTACCCCAACCTGGTCAAAGACTGAGACACGCAAACACCGCTGCGCCTGGTATGTTGTTGGCGCTCAATAAACTTTCGTGAGTTGTATTTGGAGGAAAGTAACCCCCGAGCGGAAGCCTCCAGGGAAACAGCCCCTGAAAGCGAGGGAGGCAGCGCCCACCCCATTCCCCAGGCCCCGGCCCAAGCGCCGCCAGTGGTTACCATGACAACCGGGGACTCGTCTCCAGGCAGTCCCGTCAGCTTCCGGTAGAAGAGCTCAGCCACATCTCGGCCACCACTGTCCCCGCGGACTGGCCGGGTAGAAGGATAGTTAAGGAATGGGCCACAGACTGGCTCTGGGCTAGACTTCCACCCAGCCGTTCCATCCCTCCCAGCGGGTCAAGGATACAGTCTTTGTAGATGAGAGGGTCCCCCTTGGAAGACAGGATGAAGAACTGGGAAATCATGGCCGTTCGGGAAAGAAAACCAGAAGACGAAGAAAGTTGGGCCTGCCCCGCCCTGCTGCCCCGGAACAAAAGAACGCGCACGGGCTGGCCCTTTAAGAAGGACTCCCCTCCTCCCTCACCAGCTCGGGCCGCGGGAAACCCGGCGCCAGTCCCTCCCGGCTGGGCGAGTCCCCACAACCGCCCACCACCTCCCCGTCACTCAGACCAGGGTCGCCTGGTGATTGGCTGAGGTGGTGGCCTGCGAAGGACCGGAGTACTGGAAGACCCTACACTTCGATTGGCCCGCCCGCGGCGGCGCCGGTCACGTGGGGAGAGACGTTTCGCGCCAATTTCGGTTGGTCGGCCACACTCCGCCTCACCGCCGTTCTTTGCTCCCAGGAGTGAAACTCCTGAACCTGCCAACTGCTGCTGCACGGCCCCTAGCAGCAATGGCACTTAAGGACTACGCGCTCGAAAAAGGTAGTGTGCTGCAACTCTGGGAAGGGATCCTGCGTGGGACGACTCGGCAAACACCTGTTGGCGTGAGCTGGAATCTTTGGGGACCAGGGTCTTCGGACCTTGGGACGCGCGAGGCCGGAGACAGAGTCAGGTGGCAGCGGGATTGAGGCAAACAGTGTCGGGGAGGCGCGTGGGAAGCATCAGGATCGAAAAAGAGCGGGTAGTACCGCCCAAGACGGGTGCTGGGGTCGTGGGGGGGGCGAGAGCAGGATGGGAGGCAGCAGAGGGGAGGGGCTCTCGCGCCCAGAAGAGACCCGGACCGCTGGGAACCGTATCAAAGGGTCCTCGGCTCAGGGACGGGGACCCAGGGCCCGCCTCCCTTGGCGCCTTGGGGCATTCGCGAGTTCCCGCGTCCTTCGGAGACGCGCCGAAGTCCCGGGGGCGGGCAGGCAGGGGCCGCTGCGACCTGCGATTGGCTGTTTTCTGCCGCCCTCCAAAGCGGAAGTGGAGGCGGGCGGAAGTTGCGCGTTGCAGTTGGAGGGAGTGTAGTGTGTAAACAGTGTTCTTCCGCGCGGTGGCCTCGGAGCGAGCGGCTGAGGGTGGGGGCGTGCCTGGACTCGGGGATTTAGCGCGAGACCGCGAGAGGCGGCAGTGGGGTGGGACTGAGTGGTTCTTGGCGTGCTGGCCAATCGCCGGACGGGCTCCGGCTTCGGGCGGAGGAATCCCGAGCGGTGAAGCGGCTGGAATCCGGGCCCATGTGCTTCTTTGTTTACTAAGAGCGGAAGCAGTGGCGGGAGCGGGGGTGGGGTGGAGGGCCACTCTGGTGGCGGAGGTGTAGGCGAGAGCTGAGGTCTAGGGAAGCCGAGGGTAAAGGAGAGTCTTGTGAGTGGAAGGAGAGCTGAGAACTTTGATACCCGAGGGTGTTGTGAAGGTGTGGGAGGCCATTCGGGAAGAATGCTGTAGTTCTTAACTACCCGGGGCCCCATATTCTTCCCCAGGTAAAAGCATACATGTGAAAAGGAGTCCTGCTCTCTTTGGGAAGAACTGTATAGGCTTACTTAAATATTCACGTAATTAATTAGTTCGTGGGTCCTGTTAAATATGAAAGTGGGTTTCTTAGGTTTCTGGAAGGAATTTGGGGTGAAAGATTGCTCCTCTTGATTTCACGTTTACGTTGTAGAAAAGGTTAAGAAGTTCCTACAAGAGTTTTACCAGGATGAGGAATTTGGGAAGAAGCAGTTCAAGTATGGGAACCAGTTGGTAAGTCAAAAATTAGGAGAAGGGAGTGGGGAATGGGGTGGAGCTTAAGATGCTTAGTGGTTTTGTGGCTTGTTTTAGCAAGTGTGTAAGTGACCTATTCAGTCTAGCACCTGATATTTGATAACTGAATATCTTACTACACTGATAAAATGACTAGGAAGTTTTCAGGAGTTGGGAGATTGTTATTTGGGGGCTGAGAAGCGACTATTGCTGTTGTGCTGCTTTCTAGCTTGTGGAGGCCCAGAGACTGCGCTGAGCCCACTGYAATGGTTTTTGCATAAGAACAAGATAAACTTGGCCCTGAGGTGTTGCTATCCCTTTCCCACACCAGGTTCAACTGGCTCATCGGGAACAAGTGGCAATGTATGTGGACCTGGATGACGTAGCTGAGGATGACCCTGAGCTTGTGGACTCAATTTGTGAGAATGCCAAGCGCTATGCGAGGATATTTGCCGATGCTGTACAAGAGCTGCTACCCCAGTACAAGGAAAGGGAGGTGAGTGCCTGGAGGAACAGCAGACCAAGGAATTGAAGCCTCTGGTGAGAGGATCCTGATGGTTTTGAAGTGTTAGAAAGGAGAAGTATTAGCTCTGCCTGGGGCCCTCTGTGTTCTCTCCCCATCCTGCTGTTCATATTTGCTGTTTTCCTTCTCTCCTAGGTGGTAAATAAAGATGTCTTGGATGTTTACATTGAGCACAGACTGATGATGGAGCAGCGGAGCCGGGATCCTGGGGCTATCCGAAACCCCCAGAACCAATACCCTCCTGAGCTCATGCGTAGATTGTGAGTGTTTCTGTGGGAAAAGGTCAGGGACTTGTTCCTTAGGGCCTTGCTGATGGTGATTTTTCCTTCCTTAGTGAGCTGTATTTTCAAGGTCCAAGCAGCAATAAACCTCGTGTGATCCGAGAAGTACGGGCCGACTCTGTGGGGAAATTGGTAACTGTTCGTGGAATTGTCACTCGTGTTTCTGAAGTCAAACCCAGGATGGTGGTCGCCACTTACACTTGTGATCAGTGTGGGGCAGAGACCTATCAGCCGGTATGTCTGAAACATGGATTAGGAAAGCATTTAACATTCCTTGTTTTTCTGAATGGTATTTTTGTTGGTTGGTATTGATCTGTTGTTCTCTGGTTATTGTTGAAAGATGCTAATGTATTTACTCTATTTTTTTTTTTCTTTAGTATATAGTTTTCTTCCTGTTTTCCTTTCTTGGTGGTTGTGATTATTGACCAAGAGTAGCTTTAAGGGGCTGGGGATGTGGCTCAAGCGCGCATGCGTGCTGCCTGGGTTCGATCCTCAGCACCACATACAAACAAAGATGTTGTGTCCGCCGAAAACTAAGAAATATTAAAAATTCTCTTTCTTTTTTTTTTTTTTTTTAAAGTAGCTTTAAGGAGTACTTGAAACTTCTAGAATGCTTTCTGTAGGGAAGAAATGATTCAAGTGATGATGATAAGTGGCTCTTCTGATTTCCATTGGTGCTTTCTTACGTCCTAGATCCAGTCCCCAACTTTCATGCCTTTGATCATGTGCCCAAGCCAGGAGTGCCAGACCAACCGCTCAGGAGGGCGGCTGTATCTGCAGACCCGTGGCTCCAAATTTATCAAATTCCAGGAGATGAAGATGCAAGAACATGTGAGTTTGGGGTATGTGGCTCAAGATAGGTGGAACATAAGGTCCACTTGCATCCTATAGTCAACTCCTGAAAGGCAGGAAGAAAGAAAAGCCAAAAAAGAAAGATAAGACAGAGAGAGAGATCACCTAGAGCAGGAGGGAGGTTTACCTGGAATTTTCTGATTGAGTTGGAAAGGTAAAGGATTCTTCTCTTTTGTAGTGTAGTTAAAGGTGGGCAGGCTGAGAAAAGCCTTAGAGTGCCTAGGGAAAGTCAGGTCACTGTGGATTTCCTTTGTAAATTTTTTTCCCCTTTTGTTTCATGTACTCTTCCACTTCTAGAGTGACCAAGTGCCTGTGGGAAACATCCCTCGTGGCATCACAGTGCTAGTGGAAGGAGAGAATACAAGGATTGCCCAGCCTGGAGATCACGTCAGTGTCACTGGTATTTTCTTACCAGTCTTGCGCTCCGGGTTCCGACAGGTGGTACAGGTGAGAAGAGAAGTTTCAAATGAAGAGAAAACAGTCCTTTTCCTCTTCACCCATTTTTTTATCCCCTCCCCCACCCCCCAGAGGGTTTTGTCAAGAAATTTAGGGAATTGGGTGGGGGCAAGTTAAACAGATTTCATTCACATCCTAGCATTTTCCTGTCTAAGGGTTTACTCTCAGAAACTTACTTGGAAGCCCATCGAATTGTGAAGATGAATAAGAGTGAGGATGATGAGGCTGGGGCCGGAGAGCTGAGCAGGGAGGAGCTAAAGCAGATTGCAGGTAAGGGGTCAGGGAAAGGAGTGGGGATTTGAGTGTCTTTCTAGCCCCAGAATATATTCTAATTTCCTTGCAGAGGAGGATTTCTATGAAAAGCTGGCTGCTTCAATTGCCCCAGAGATATATGGGCATGAGGATGTGAAGAAAGCACTGTTGTTGCTTCTTGTTGGTGGCGTTGACCAGTCTCCTCGAGGCATGAAAATCAGGGGTAAGTAGCAGCTCAGGTGGATAAAATTATGTGGGAGGAAAAAAAAGGGTGGTAAGGTTCATTGTCTCTTAATATCACAAAATAAGAGTTGGTGTCTTGGCCTTATGGGTACAGGGAAGCTTAGAAGGAATAACAGGAAAGGAGGCAGACCTGAGAAGTGTCTTTGTGGGACATTATGCTTAGGAGAATGGTCATTTGACTTCTTTCTTTTCTTCCAGGTAACATCAACATCTGCCTGATGGGGGATCCTGGTGTAGCCAAGTCTCAGCTCTTATCTTACATTGATCGTCTGGCACCCCGCAGTGAGTAGGGATAGAGTGCAATCCCATTCAAAAGGTGGAGTTTGGCTGGGAGAACAGGTCTCTGGTGAGGGTTGATGGAAAAGGGATGTAACCCCACAGCATTGCATACCTCTTTAGCCACCTCCAAAAGGCCTCAGCTGGGGGAGCAATTCCAGTGCAGGCCTTGCCTCACTGGCCCATCCCCTGTCCTTGCCCTATGCTTGCTCCCTTCCTTGTCCTTTCTCTAAAACATGTTTGCTGCTTTTTTTCCAGGCCAGTACACAACAGGCCGGGGCTCCTCTGGAGTGGGGCTAACAGCAGCTGTGCTGAGAGACAGTGTGAGCGGAGAATTCACCTTGGAGGGTGGAGCCCTTGTGCTGGCTGACCAGGGCGTGTGCTGCATTGACGAATTTGACAAGATGGCTGAGGCTGATCGCACAGCCATCCATGAGGTCATGGAGCAGCAGACCATCTCCATTGCCAAGGCGGGCATTCTTACTACACTCAATGCCCGCTGCTCTATCCTGGCTGCCGCCAACCCTGCCTATGGGCGCTATAATCCCCGCCGAAGCCTGGAGCAGAACATACAGCTTCCTGCTGCACTGCTATCCCGATTTGACCTCCTCTGGCTGATCCAGGACCGGCCTGACAGAGACAATGACCTCCGGTGAATGAAGTTTCACACCCAGAGAGACCCCTCTTTTTAAGTCTAGAGGGAGTGAGGGAGGTGAAATCAGAAAATCCCCCAACTTCTGGTTGTAGTAACTCCAGAGCCTTCCCCTCTTATAGCAAGGCTATAAGACGCTGATGAGGGTTTCCTGGAAAGTCTGGCCTTGCCTTTGAGGGAGAAGCAGAAGGAATCAAGTGAGGGATTTTTGAAGTCAGGACTTTGGCATATACCCCTAAAACGCATTACTCCTTGCCTCCATTCTTCCCAGGTTGGCCCAGCACATCACCTATGTGCACCAGCACAGCCGGCAGCCCCCTTCCCAGTTCGAACCTTTGGACATGAAGCTTATGAGGTAGGAGGGCTAGGTAGGGGTGGGTGTTCCTCAGCAAGTCCCTAGTACATGACTGTGTCTTGGGCCACATGTTCTCTGAAAAGCTTTTAGTCTTGGGTGTTTTTTGCTACTCTTCTGACGTAATCTAATAATAATAAGAACAGTGAGTCTTAGGTCCCTGTTTACCTCCTCCAGCCTGATTTCATGAGACTAGTGTATGCATCTTCAGATCCTGCCTTACTTTACCACCTCTGCTGGATCCTATTCCCCAGACACTGTATAACTCTTTTCTAGAGCCACCCCCCCACCTATCCTCAGGTTTTTATTCCTTTTGACCTATTTAATTAAATGATTTTCTTTAAACAAAGATTATTTTTGCTCCTTTTAGCTATGTCATAAAACTCTAAGGGGACTGGATTTTTGTTTGTTTTAGATATTCATTGGATCCTTTCTTAGGACAGGTGGATTTGTCTTATTTTTTAAAAGGCCTTTTTTCCTGAAAAGTCGGAAATAACTTCAAATGCACTGGCAGCTCTACTTTGGGAGAAATTTTTCAGTGATACTCAAGCCAAGCCAATAATCATCCATTGATTTCTTTTTTTCTGTTTAATAAAGTCCTTTACAAGAATTTTCTTAAATGGGGGACCCTTGTCCAGATAGAACACATGCCCCCTCTACTCCATTTCCATCTCCTTTTTCTGCTTCCCCATGAACCTTTTCTCCACAGACGGTACATAGCTATGTGCAGAGAGAAGCAGCCCACAGTGCCCGAGTCTCTGGCTGACTATATCACAGCAGCATATGTGGAGATGAGGCGAGAGGCTTGGGCCAGTAAGGATGCCACCTATACATCTGCTCGGACTCTGCTGGCTATTCTCCGACTTTCTACTGCTCTGGTGAGTGCCCAGTCCCTATCATACTGGATGGCAGTCAGTTTTTGATCCCTACTTGGCAGTTTGCCTTAACACAATCCTCTTGCTGCCTCCTCCCTCCCACCGGCCCTGCTGGGGCTAAAGTGCTGACAGTGCAGATAGTGGTCCTCTCTGTGCTACCGCACTGTGGGTACTTGCTGCTCCAGCAGGGCATGCACAGCGCCCATGGAGGGAAAGGTCTTCTCTTCTTGCTTCAGCCTCACTGATGGATGGGTGGGTTCAGTTCATTCCCTGTGTCCTATATCCTGTGCTATAAAACCTTCGTTTCTGTCCTCACATCTTGGACCTTGGTCCTGGGGGCTCCAAAGTGCTGTTCGTGCAGGTAGTGTGATTACCTGACCTACTGCTGAGCTAGCACTTCCCGAGCCCCCAGGACACACCCCTCTGCCAATCGCCTCCTTGGCTGAGCTCCCAAGGCTCCATCTGTCATGGTGGGGAGCCCAGTGGAGTTCAGAAGGGTCTGGTCTCCCTCACAGGACAGCTGAACACCGGGACTGGCCAGTGTTGAGAGGCGGAGACTTGGGCAATTGCTGGACGCTGCCCTGGGCATTGCACTTGTCTCGGTCTGACAGTGCCGGCCCAACACTGCGGATGTGGAGGGCAGGCAGGGGTCCCCATCCTTGTTCTATTGAGTAGGCAATGCATGGCTTGCCCTGCCTTAAAGATGGAACAAGGAAGCTGTCCCTAATTTTGTTCCATTCCCCTCCTCCTGTCCCCATCTCTCTCCCCTGCCTTCCCCTTAGGCACGCCTGAGAATGGTGGACACAGTGGAGAAGGAAGATGTGAATGAAGCCATACGGCTAATGGAGATGTCAAAGGACTCACTTCTAGGCGACAAGGGGCAAACAACTAGGTGAGTGGCTTCATGAAGGATAGAATTGGGTTACTGTGGCTTTCTTGAGCAGGTCACTTTATCTTTGTGGTTTCTGTATCCACAAGTGCACAAAATTGGCCTCAGAATTCACTGGCCACCATCTCTGTTGCTGTCCAGCATTCTGGTTTGTACTCTAATTCTTCACACCCACATTTCCTTCAGGACCCAGAGGCCAGCAGATGTGATATTTGCCACTATCCGTGAATTGGTCTCAGGGGGCCGAAGTGTCCGGTTTTCTGAGGCAGAGCAGCGCTGCATTTCACGTGGTTTCACACCTGCCCAATTCCAGGCGGCTCTGGATGAGTATGAGGAGTTGAATGTCTGGCAGGTCAATACCTCCCGGACAAAGATCACCTTTGTATAACTGCTATCTGCCTGAGACATTGGGCCCCACCCAGGATTATGCTGACCTGCTTGCTCTTCTGAAAATGCAATGACGCCCTGGAAGGGAAGGAGACCCCTTCTTCCCATTGATGCACTTGTTTTATTCCTTTTGCCAATAAAGTGTTGTCACCTTTTAGTTTAGGCCTAATTTCCGTTAAAACACAACATTGTGGGATTTTCAAATTTATATCCCATTCACATTTATGCTTGTTCTATTCTATTCATCTGATAAATCATGTAAGGTACCTGTTTATCTGCCAGGCATAAGAATCCAGCAAGAGTGTCTTCACTACCATATGGAGATTCTTGGAGCTGGGTCACCATTCCTCTCCTACTTAGTCTCTCAATACTTAACTGGATCTTGTTGTGTGCCAGTCTGACCTTGAGAATATAGTAGTACCATGGGAAACGGGACTTACTGACCCAGTTCTTTGATTTCTTGAAATGTTCCTACCATTCATCCTTAGTCCTCAACTCTACCTAAAACTATTTAAGGGTAACATTTACAAACTTAACACTTGGCACAAGCAATTACATAATGTTGATTCCAGTCTTTAGACCCTTTCCTGAATCTCATCTTCTCAATGTGGATACTAACTAGTCCCTCTGCCTCATGGGGTTGAGGCACCATGTGGATGAAACACAAATTGAAAAAGCGCTCCTTCCTGGTAATTCATCATTCACAGAGGATTCAAGTTTTGAGTTGTCCATAATAAATGTTTTTAATGGCCTTCCCTCCCTTTTTTGTGAAAAGTACTTTCAGTAAAACTTAGCTTGGGAAAGGAGTCACTTGTCATGTTTATAGGGTTGGCCTATATAAGTTGATGTCCTAGGAGACCACTCAGATGGAAGAAGGCAGCCTTAATATAAATCTAGTCTACCTAACAGAACTAAGGAGAATCTTAAGTAGCAGTGAACTCAGTCACTGAAGGGAGTCAAGAAGAGCTGATAATAAAATGCATCGCCTCTAAGCAGGACCTCCTGTGAGACCCAAGGTAGAAACCAGTGTGGTGCCTAACAGAGGACAAAGCCACTGGAAGGGGTACTGAGGGGCTGCTCCTTTTATTAATGACAGCAGTTTCTGAAGGGAGTGTAGTGCCCGGCCCCTTTGGGGCAGTTGTCTGACCCCTGTGTATGATCCCTTCAAGTACCCTCAGAAGAAGAGCCCCCTCATTCGCCTGCCGATGCCTTGTCGGTCGTAGAGAACGTTGAACTTGTTCACAAACTGGTTCATGGTGTTGCAAGTTTTGGTGATTGTGCCGAGGTAAGCCATGAGTCCCACATCGTTGCATTGCTGGGAGGGAATAAAAGAACCAGTTCCCCAGGGGGTCCCTCGCATGTGCCTGCAAAAAGGTGTAAGCCCCACCTCCCCACCTGGGATTTTACACTCACATCATAAAAGTCTGTCTTGAATTTGTCTGTGCTGAGAACTGGGAGGCAGTGACAGAGAGCATAGGCCTCCCGCAGGATCTCATGGTTGAAGGGGACCTCTCCTAAGGGCACAAAGAGGCTGTACTGATATGGACGCTGTCAATTCCTCAGGAGGGAAAGAAAGGATGAGTGCCAGGAAGGCACCTGCCCTACCTGCTTCAGAGGCCTTGACATACTCCAAGATGAGCTTGACTCGGCTGTGCAGCATCTTGATGGCACTATGCTGTGCTATCAGGTGTTCAGCCACTACAGGGGGACAGATGAAGGGTTAGAAGGCATATGGTCACACCTTGCATCCCTGCTTCAAAGAAATCACCTCCCTTACCAGTGGAGTTCTCCCCACTGCCTGTTGCTGTCATTCGGGCAACATGGTCTACACCAATGCGTTCAGCTTCCTCTGTGGCCAAAGTATAGGTCAGCTCAGCAAACAGCATTGTGGCCTACAGGGCAGAACATCCCACAGAGAGTCAAAAACAGGAAATAGGACAAAAGCAGGATTTGAAGGTTGAAGGGTCAGGTATTACCTCTCCATTGATTATATCAATGACAGACTCAAAAACGCTGACGGGAAGCTGTAAATGACAAATGAAGAACAGCTATTAGCTCCTGAACCTCACTATGTGCCAAAAGTTGAACTGGGTTCTTTCACACATTTTCTTATCAAATTTCCCCAATAACTTGGTGAGATAGGGATAATCCCAATCTGACATGAAAATGCCTCTCAGAGCTTAAGTGACTAGCCCAAAGTCACAGCTTATAGGTGACAGCATGGAGATTCAACTCTGACATTCTCCAATAGAGAAGAGATGTCACAGTAAAACATAACATGGGATKAGGATACAAAATAAGAACAATGATAGACAAGAATGACAAGCAAGCCTGGGGTCAATAATACTCACATCTGTGTGCTTGGTCATAGGGTTCAACTTAAGAAAGAGGGGGCTCTCAATTATCTCGCACACCTAGAAGAGAGTCATGCACAGGGAAGTCAACACCTCATCTTTCTTCTTCCCCTCATCCTCTATTCTCTGCCCAAGCATGCACATGTGAGTGTGTATACCTGCTTATGGACGTGGATGTCGGAGGGGTCAGGCGGCCCCCCTGTGGTATACCAACCCAGAAACTCCAGCTCCTTGAATACCTGTTTAACTGGAGAGGAAGGGGCCAGAGCACACAGTATTCCCTTAAACCATCCTTCCTTAGTTTGAAGCTCCTGATTTATTTCCACAATTTCTCCCTCCCTCCTCAATTCGTGGCTAGGTTTAGAACAATTACTCTTTTCTACCCAGGCTTCTTTCATTTTTCACTTTTCTTGTGGGGGATACCTGAATGTGTTCTTTTTCTGAGAGCTACTCTCCCTTAATCTTCCCTCCTGTTCTAAATCTTYTCTCCTGTTTATTCCTTCCCAGCCCTCTTGATATTGTCCACCTTGAGCTTTTCTTTTTTAAACTCCCACCCTCTTCCCCACTTCTGTTCCCCTCTCACACTGCTCCTCCTTGGTGTAATAATATTCCTTGTCAATGATAATCTTCTCTTCCACGGTGTGGGACAGCAGCTCAAAGGAGTTCATCACTTCAATATTTCGGCCCTCCTGCTTCCCGATCAGAGCCCCAATCACTAGGGAGAGAACAACATGTAGGAGATGAGGGTAAGGAATCTTAAAATTTTCCCTAATCACCTGAGGGTCTGAGGTCCAGTGTGAACCAAATATTGGAGAAACAGTGATTTAAGGGTGGGGGGATTAGCTTCAGTAAAGGAAGGGGGAAAGAGTGAAGGAGGAGACCAAGGAGCTGGATTGGGTGTTATGCAGAACACTCACCCTGCACAGGTCGCCCCTCCTGGGAGCGCATGCGGATCCAGTGGTCTGAGATGTTGAGAATGACAAGGGGATGAAGAGCGACTGAAACACTCCCAGTCACTCCGGAGGCCATCACACTGGGGACTACTAAAGGCGGAGGAAAAGGAGAAAGGGTGAGAGTCCGCGCCCCACGTTCTTCCCTGGAGATGGGAGTGGGGAATGGCAGAGCCCGGGCCGTACATCCTTCCCGCAAGTTACCCGGGGAGAGATGTCGCTTCTCCCAGGAGTAGAGGACGGCCTTAACGCACCCCGGAAAGGTATCTCCAGAAGCCGCCCGCACCGCCCGTTACCTGCTGCATCCACCTCCATCCCGCTGCTTCCTCCGGTCCCGTTCGCCGCCGCCATTTTCCCCGCGCCCGCCAGCGTCGGCCCCGCCCCCTTCCTTCCCGGCTTCCGTCGGCGAGCCGCACATGCCCAGTGTCCGCGTGGCGCGCGGAGCCAGTCCCTGCCCGCGCCGGCCGCGAGCGGCTTCTAGGTCCCGGAGCTCGACTGGGTTTCGAGCCGATTTTCGGTGACGCCGCTCTGCCTCTCGTCTGCGCCCCCAACCTGATCTTCCTCATGAGTAAAATTGGGGTAAGGATGCCCCGTTCAGAAGGCTGTTGTAGAACGAAATCCAGATTTCGGACCACACCCTGCAAGACCCTGCGTGATCTGGCCCCTGCTTGTCAGCCCTGCCGGGCCTCAACTTTTCCAAGCTTTGGTTCTCATGCTTCAGACACACTGGCCCTCCTGTGTTTTCCACACGCACGCCTCACTTTCTCACGCTTTAAAGGACTAATTCCTTACATTTTGTTTATAACTTTATCCCCTGTGACTCAACATGGTGCCTAACACATTAGCACCTAAATAATTTTTTGAGTGAATACCCCAGCAAGTTACATATGCTGTCCCTTCTGCTGCCTCTCTAGTTTACTAATCTGGCTTTTTTAGTATATCTCCGTACCTTCATCTGAAGTTTAAGCCCCTAGAAGGCAAGTAGAGACTTGTATCTGGTAAAGCCTAGTGTGGTACCAGGAGATACTTTCTGATGATGAAGATGACTTACAAGGGAGTTAGGCAATTTCCCCACTTAGGAGTCTGAATGAAGGACCAACTACCTTCAAAGGAAGCCATCAGAAAAAATCCGTAGGGAGAGGGATCTTCTAGGCAAGGAGAAGTTAAAAGAGAGTTAATCTCATTCTACTCTCCAGTGAAAAACTTAGGAGATCTGGACCAACTGAGTTTTCATAGAAAAGTAAATATGCCTAACTTCTCTTTAGAAAAAATAAGGTCAGGAAAAATGTAGGCAGCTTCTAAGGAGTACAGCATTGAATTTGAAGGCTACAATAAAAAGATAAGAAACAGTTTAATGTTAACCTTTGATAGTTTTCTTTGCTATCTCACATAAAAGTGCTCCTTTGCCTTTTTGTTATTCCAAATGCTTTTGCAACATTGGTCAAATAATTATATAACTCCTAAGCAGTGATCATTGTGAAACTTATGAAATTGAATCAGTTGATTATACATGCTTCAGAAGTAAACTTACTAAACACTTCTTAAAAATACATGTATTAAAGAAAGAAAGACTACAGCTGGGCATGGTAGCACTCACTTGAAACTCCAGTGACTTGGGAGGCTGAGACAAGAGGATCTTGACTTCAAAGCCAGCCTCAGCAGAAGCAAGGTGCTAAGGAATTCAGTGAGACCCTGTCTCTAAATAAAATATAAAATAGGGCTGGGGATGTGGCTTAGTGGTAGAGTGCCCCTGAATTCCATCTCTGTGGTGCTAAGGGCATGTGCACACATACACATACCCCACCACCACCACAAWGCACCCCTGGATTCATTCCCCAGTACCAAACCAAATCAAACTAACCAACCAACCAACAAAAAACCACTCAAGTTAGCTCTCCATTCTCTTTTTAGCTTCCAACAAAATTACACATAGTGCATCAGTCTATTGTTTTAACTTTTCCTTCCATTGGGTGGAGGTAACTAGGCTGGTGGGGAATAGATCAGAGGGTCTGAGAAGAAAAGGTAAGAATGCAGTGAGACCTGCAGGAGAGAGTCCAACCTGGGTCACCACTTGGTTTTGTCTGTGGTGTTGTCAAGCAATTGTTCCTCTTGAGGTGTGTTAGTGGTTATCCATCCATTCATCCAACATTCATTTAACAAATATTTAGGAGTGTCTACTACGTGGCAGGCACAGTTCCAGGTGCTGGGGAGATAACATTGAACAAAACAAAGTTTTGACCTCATGGAGCTTATACTCTGATTGTAGAAAGCAGACAATAACAATACATGAAGATATTAAGAGGGATTGGCAAGTGCTGTTTAACATGGAAGGGTAGAGATCTGAATGGAGTGAAGGAGAAAGGCATGAGGATATCTGGTGAAGAGTATTCCAAGCAGAGAGGACAAAGGTGAAGGTCTTGAAGCAGATATATTCCAGGAATAACAATAAAGTGGCAGTAAGGAATGAATTAAAGGGAGAGTAATAAGCCATGAAGTCAAAGTAGCAACAGCACTGGAAGCCACATAGGCCATGAGAAGGTCTTTGGCTTTCAGTCTGAGTGAAATGCAAATAGAGTGACATGATTTTGACTCATACTTTGAAAGGATCATTAAAAAAAAAAAACAAGGCATAAACTAAGAAGTAAAGAGTCATTCAGGTTGATGTATGGAAATTGGCAGTTGGGGAGCAGAAGATGCAGCATGGGATGCTGGAGCTATTTTTGTAATCCAAATGAAATATGAATGCTGCTTGGACCAGG